GGAAATTGATGATCTTAAAGCTTATTTCAATAAAGTTGGAACAAAAAGTTTTGAACAAGGAGATAATTCAAAATCCAACTATATTAGAAAGAATTTTAAATCTTACAATTATAGATGTCCCCAAAGAACCTTTAATGATAAAATCGTTAGTATTATATGGGTTCCTAAAGGACTCAATACTACTAAAGATAAAGATATCCTAAATAAATGGATACCAAAGGGGACTAGGATTTTAGAGACTAATGAATATGGACCCAAAAGAATTTGGGTACTAAAAATAAAAAATTAATCTATGTTTGTAGGAAAAGGAGCATTGCTACAAGACACGAAGTACAAGTTCAAACTCATGGTTCCTTGATAGTGGATGCTCAAGAAACATGACCGGAGACAAAAGCTAGTTTATAGAGCTTAACGACAAAAATGGAGGAGTGGTAACCTTTGGTGATAACTCAAAAGGTTATATTGAAGGTATAGGTACTATAGGTAATACCTCTTCCATACAAATAGAAAAAGTATTATATGTGAATGGGTTAAAGCATAATCTACTAAGTATTAGTCAATTGTATGATAAGGGATACAATGTCATGTTTGAAACCAATGGTTATAAAGTTATTGACATTGCTTCTAATAAGATTATGCTCATTGGTCATATAATATGAAAAATTTACATGGTGCATTTAGATTCAATAAATATGACTAATTTATGCCTAGTTACTAAGGATGAACATGATAGTTGGTTATGACATAGGAAACTAGGTCACACAAACATGAGTGTATTACAAAAACTAATTCAAGGTGATTTAGTAAGAGGGTTGCCAAAGCTAAAATTTGATAAAGATAAAATTTGTGATGCATGCTCAAAAGAAAAACAAAAGAAAGTTTTCTTTAAATCCATTAATGATGTATCAACTAGTAGAGTATTACAATTGATCCATATAGATCTTTTTGGGCCTATTTGGACTATTAGCTTGGGTGGAAAACAATATTGTTTTGTAATAGTTGATGACTATTCTAGATATACCTGGGTTATATTTTTAAGTACTAAAGATGAAGCATTAGAACATTTTATCACTTTTTCAAAAGTAATCCAAAATGAAAAAAAGGTTACTCAATTTCAAGTGTTAGGAGTGATCATGGTACTGAATTTGAAAATCTTGGATTTTATGAGTTTTGTAATTCTAATGGAATTAGCCATAATTTTTCAGCACCTAGAACCCCTTAACAAAATGGAGTTGTTGAGAGGAAAAATCGAACTTTAGTAGAAATGACTAGAACCATGCTTTGTGAAAATAATTTGCCAAAATATTTTTGGGCGGAAGCCACAAATACCGCTTGTTATGTTATAAATCGAGTAATGATTAGGCCTATTTTTGAAGAAAACTCCATATGAAATTTTCAAAAATAAAAAGCCTAACATTAGATATTTTCATCCATTTGGATGTAAATGTTTTGTTTCAAACAAAGGTAAAGATAACCTTGGCAAATTTGATGCTAAAAGTGATGAAGGAATTTTTCTGGGTTATTCATTAAATTCTAAAGCTTATCAGGTATTTAATAAAAGAACTTTAGTGGTAGCATTTGCATGTTTCAATGAATTTAAACTGTATCAAATGGATGTTAAAAGTGCATTTTTAAATGGTTTTATAAACGAAGAAGTGTATATAAAACAACCTCCTGGTTTTGAAGATTCAAAATTTCCAAATCATGTCTTTAAATTGACAAAAGCATTATATGGTTTAAAACAAGCTCCTAGAGTTTGGTATGAAATATTGTCAAACTTTTTAATAGAAAAAGGTTTTTCAAAAGGGAAGGTTGACACTACATTGTTTTTAAAGTGAAAAGGTAAAGATTTATTAGTAGTTCAAATTTATGTTGATGATATAAATATTTGGTCTTACTAATGATGCTCTTTACCAAGAATTTTCTAAGCTAATGTAGAGTGAATTTGAGATGAGCATGATGGGGGAGCTTTCATTTTTCTTGGGGCTCCAAATCTAGCAAAGAAAAGATGGCATCTTCATCAATCACGCAAAATACGTCAAGAAGTTTGGATTGGAAAATATCAAACCCCAAGCCACTACAATAAGCTCATCTACAAAGTTTGACAAAGATGAAGGAGGTAAATGTGTAGATGTTAAACTTTATAGGTCTATGATTGGCTCTTTTCTTTATCTAACTGTAAGTAGATCGGACATTATGTTTAGTGTTTGCTTATGTGCTAGATTTAAATCATGCCCTAAGGAATCACATCTACAAGCGAATCTTTAGATACTTTAAGGACACTCCTAGTTTAGGATTTTGGTATCCTAGAGACTCTAGCTTTAGCTTGCATGCCTTTTCATATGCGGATTATGGAGGATGCAAAATAGATAGGAAAAACACCCCCTGTACTTGACAATTCCTAGGAAATATGTTGATTTCTTGGTTTTCAAAGAAAAAAAATAGTGTTGCATTATCTACCACTGAAGCAGAATACATTTCAACCGGTAGTTGTTGCGTACAAGTTTTATAGATGAAACAACAACTTTTTGATTATGGAATTGAAGTAGGTACCATTCCTATCTAGTGTGACAATACTAGTGCTATTTGTCTCACTAAAAATCCCATCCAACACTCTAGAACTACGCACATTGAAATTAGACATCATTTCATTAGAGATCATGTCACAAAGTTAGATGTAGTTCTAGAATTTGTTGATACTTTGCATCAAATAACTGATATTTTTACAAAACCTTTAAATAAAGAAATATTTTGGACACTTAGGAGAGAATTAGGTTTAACCGACTTATCTTGACTTAGTGTTTAAAATGATTTTAGCACTTTTAATTAGAAAATGAAAAATGCTTATAGAATTAACATTTTTAAGTGCCTTCTATGCTAATCCTTAGGGTGAGTTTATGATCTTTAGTGAAAATTAATAATATGTTCAAATAAAATTTAAGGATATATTTGATTGATTGAACATAGTTAATTTTTGAAATATGAGTTGCCAATACCACTATAGCTAATTAATTTAGCATTATAAGTGTTTAAAAGCATATTTTTGACATTTTTGTGCACAAAGTATCGATACCTGTCACCCAGGTACTGATACCCCATTGCTAGGTATCGATACTGCTTCAACGTGTATCAATTCCCTCTTTCAATGTGTATCGATACCCCTCGATGGGTACCGATACCCTCTGTCGGGTTTAGGCTTTAAATCCCTAAAATCTTCATTTGGCCGAAAATCCCCAAAATTATCTCTTGCTCGTCGTTTACCTCTCATCTCTACATATTCAATACCTTGCTTCCTTTTTCAAGTCAGATTTCACTCATTTTTCAACTCCTAATCCTGCTACAATCATCAAATTAGTGCAAACAACAACAAAATCCACTGTTATATAGCGGCATTTTGAGAGTAAACACCACTAACTTTGAACATATAGCGACGTTTACATTCTAAACGCCACAAAATGGTAACTTTAGCAGCGTTTTTATATAAACGTCGTAATAGGGTTAATATATAGTGGTATTTTTCCAACAAACGCCACAATAGAGTAGTACTTTAGCGGGGTTTTTACATAAATGTCATAATAGGGTTCATCTATAGTGGCATTTTTCAACAAATGTCGCAATAGAATATTACTTTAGCGGCGTTTTTATAAAAATGCCGTAATAGATTCCATCTTTAGCGGTGTTTTTATACAAACGCCGTAATAGAGTTCATATATAGTGGCATTTTTTTTTCAATAAACGCAGCAACAAAATAGTACTTTAACGACGTTTTTATACAAATGCAACAATAGTTTGGTATGTTTGTAGCGTTTAGGTTTTAAAACGCCGTAAAATTTAAAAGTTTTATTTCCTCTTCAGCCCGAAAAGGAGATTTAAGCATAAGCGTGCATTCCCTTCCCATTTCTTTTTATTTCCCTTGTCGCATATATGTTACCAGAGTGCATTCCCTACCATCCCATTTCTTTTTATTTCCTCTTCTGCCCGAAAAGGAGATTTAAGCAACCCCACGACCACCGTAAATCGGCGTCGATGACGAGGTAACCTCCAAAGCTCTCCCATTTTAACACAAAATAACCCCTAAACCTAGAAGCTCATATGCAACATTTACTTCTAAAGGGTTTTTTTTTTTAAAAAGAAAATACCTTCAAATCTCAATGCTTTGGCTTCGGTCCAAGAGGAACGATAGTGGCTTCGACGAAATGTAGGTCATTTTTAGGTTCTCTCTATTTTCTCTCTGATTCATTTCCAGAACCGAATGCCCTTTTTCGAACTGATCTCCCTACTTAAATCTCTCTACTTAAAATTTTAAAATTTTAAGATCATTGTCTTGGATGTTCACTTATTTGTTTTATTTCTCTTTAAATTTAAAATTTTATGAGTTTGCTTCAAAATCTTCAAAGGTGATCTTGCTTCGATACCCGTTTCCCAGCTGTAAGCTTCTATCTTTTTCTTTTTTTTCCTTTTAATTTTCTCTGAATTTGTTTCCCCCTTTTTAATCAGATGTTAGTTTGAATTGGGTGTTTGATTTTTGGTTGATTTGATGGAAAATGAAATCTGGGTTTTTGATTATGTGCTTGTTTTTGTTGCTGTGATTCCAATTTATAAAGTAGTTTTCCTGACATGGGTCATCGTTAATTTTTTTATGTATTAGTCGACTATTTGTTCAATGTTTAGGATTTTTGGTTATTTAGTTTATGATTGCTTCAATTATATGGAATTTCGTGGACTGTGATGTTGGATTTGTGCTTTTCAAAGTTCTTTTAGGGAGGATTCTTTGTTTTTCGATATTCTATGAAAATCTCATGATGGTTTGATTTGTCAAAACCCAGTACTATTGAAATGAAACCCATCCACGACAGTGATCAGCTTGATCAGATCCTGGCAGATGCTTAACAGCTTTCCCAACCTGTTCTCATTGTCTGGTTTGTTTTATCTTCTTCTAACTCTTTCCTTGACTGGTTTTTTCCAAAGTGAAAAGGATGGGTTTTGTTTAATTGTTGATAGGATAGCTGCTTGGTGCCGAAAATGCATCTATTTGAAGCCAAAGTTGGAGAAATTGGCAGCTAAATTCCATACCAAGTATATATATTTCCCCTCTATTCATTTCATCAATATGTTTAAATTCTAATACAATATTTCTTTTACTTTCTTTGGCTTTAATAAAAAGTTACCCATTAATAGATTTGGCATGAATTTGGAAATTAAAAAAATATAAAGAAGTAAATGTGAGAAGGGGAAAAGATAGTGTAGATAGATGGATGGACCATGCTACATTTTTAAATTTCCAATCGGCTCCCATATGTACAAAAAAGATTTATATTCACCGCTCTAATCTTTGCTTGAGATATAAAAACAAAGGACATTAGATTCTAAGTTGCTTGATATTTGTTTTGTTTGGCTTTAATTTATTTTCCACTACCATTTGATATTTTCTTATTTTATGGTAATCGGATGTAATGAAGGTTTTTTCATTCAAAGGCAAATGCTAATTTACTATATTATTGAAAGCCTTGCAAAATGATTTTTTCTGAACATAGCTGCTTTCTGGTTTGCAGAATGTTATTGACTTTCAGTGAGCAAACAAAAGGTAAAAAATTCCCAAAGAATGCATCAGATCAGGAAATCTTGAGATTGTTATGTCAAAGTGCAACTTTCTTTCTAATATTAATGTAATTCTAATCATGTTTGCACTTAATGACTTATGATGCACATCTTATGGGTGAAATTTGAACTTGTTCTTTTGTTTGGTATTTTACATGTATAAAAGCTTTAGGTTCAAAAATTGCTCTAGACCTAAATGAGAAGTAATACTAGTAAATTTTATAAATGCCAATACATCTGAAATAGTCTTGCATTCTCAATTTTCATGTTGGCCTGTTCATACTTTGACATGATTCCAGAATAATATGTTCCTTTTTTTCAAGTTCATACTTCAACATAATTCCCGAATAAATATGTTCCTTTGATTGCTAATATGATATATTGCTTCAACTGAACTCCCATGCTGTGGTTTTTATTTCTTAGTGTGGAAAATTTATTCTTCGAATGGAACTCTAATTCATTGGGATTAATAATATAGATATGAAAAGGAACTTATCAACCCTATCCAGAATCTTCTCCATAGAGAGCTCGCTTGTGCTCTGCTCATCCAGGTAATACACGTTATTTTTATCATGCAATTGCCACCTTTTATTTCTTATGATGCTCATTGAACTAGGGCAATGCTTGAATTGGATTAGATTCTCAGAGCAAATGAAATCAACTTTGCAATCCTTGCTGCCTTGCCAGCGTTTGCCTAGTCTCTTGGTCTGATGGTCATACGAATTTATATTGCCACACTATTGTTTCAACCCTAGATTTCCTGCATATATATATATATATATATATGCCTTCTTAAGTACTGTTTAGATGGTTATTCAAATTTATAGTGTCGCTCTATCTTTTCAACCTTGGATCATGCTACATTTTTAAATTAACAAGCCTTGTGAATATCATAGTATCATATTATGTGTCTTTGGATCTTGTTTTTTGTTACCTTTATTGTTGTGTATTTTCTATGTATTGTGTATTGTTCTAACAAAAGCATCCAATCAAATTACAGAAAACATTGTGTATAGATCTACAATGTATTTGAATTTCTGTGGGACAATGTTAGTCGGGTTCCTGATTATGGTCATGGCCATTCTGAGGCTGCTGCTACTAATGATATTTTCCCATATCATTCTGCCAGAAAAGCTATCGGAGATGATGCCAATGAAAGTGATGAAGAATCTAATAGAAGCAGAATGGTAAGATGATTTCTTACTTCAGGATGCTTAAAGCTTTGGGGGCTCGAAGGAGTGCAAAGATATTCTTTAAAGCTATGAAAGTTTAGTTTGATAGAAGTTTCCTTTACTTGGTAGAACTATAAGTAGAATGTCTGCTCAATAAATTCCATTATTTATGTTTCTAGTATATGCAACACATATGTATACATTTGTATGTATTTTTGTTATATTAATGTTTTCCACCCTTTTAATTTCAAGTTACTTGTTTTTATTTAATTTCTGCAATATATTCTTTGATTTATAAAATTGATTATTACTGTTGGTGTAAAGAATGTCTTTAATGGTGTTTTATGCAACTCATGCAGCTACTCCTAATAGTGTCATTTGCGGCGTTTTTAGATGAAAATGCCACTAATAATGGGCTTATTTACAACGTTTTTAATAACAAATTCCACTAAATACACAGTTAATAACAACATTTATCTTTATAAACACCGCTAAATACACAGTCAATAGCGGTGTTTTCAAAGACAAATGCCGCAATACACAGTTAATAGCGGCGTTTTCAAAGATAAATGCCGCCAAATACAAAGTCAATAGCGGCGTTTTCAAAGACAAATGTCGCTAAATACAGAGTCAATCGCGGCGTTTTCAAAGATAAACGCCGCTGCTACTAATGATATTTTCCCATATCATTATACTAGAAAAGCTGTCGGAGATGATGCCAATGACAGTGATGAAGAATCTAAGAGAAGCAGAATGGTAAGATGATTTCTTACTTCAGGATGCTTAAAGCTTTGGGGGCTCGAAGGAGTGCAAAGATATTCTTTAAAGCTATGAAAGTTTAGTTTGATAGAAGTTTCCTTTACTTTGTAGAACTATAAGTAGAATGTCTGCTCAATAAATTCCATTATTTATGTTTCTAGTATATGCAACACATATGTATGTATTTTTGTTATATTAATGTTTTCCACCCTTTTAATTTCAAGTTACTTGTTTTTATTTAATTTATGCAATATATTCTTTGATTTATAAAATTGATTATTACTGTTGGTGTAAAGAATGTCTTTAATGGTGTTTTATGCAACTCATGCAGCTACTCCTAATAGTGTTATTTGCGGCGTTTTTAGATGAAAATGCCACTAATAATGGGCTTATTTACAACGTTTTTAATAACAAATGCCACTAAATACACAGTTAATAACGACATTTATCTTTATAAACACCGCTAAATACACAGTAAATAGCGGCGTTTTCAAAGACAAACGCCGCTAAATACATAGTTAATAGCGGCATTTTCAAAGATAAATGCCGCCAAATACAAAGTCAATAGCGGAGTTTTCAAAGACAAACGTCGCTAAATACAGAGTCAATCGCGGCGTTTTCAAAGATAAACGCCGCTAAACCTCAACACCTATTACGACATTTGTTCAACAAACGCTGTTATATATTGTTACCTATTACGGCATTTTTTGTTACCAAATGCCACGAACTTTAGCGGTGCTATTTTCAGCTGCGCTTTTTACGACATTTTTCATATCGCCGCATGTGTTTTTTGTGGCGCTTAAAAACGCCACTATAGCTAAAAAACGCCGCAAAAAGCCAGTTTTGTTGTAGTGAAACCACTATTTTATTGATTTTTGAACATATGACTAGTTTTAGTTAGTTCTAGTTTGAATTAGTGATCGGGCATTGCTTATATTATGATTTTACACTAGAATCTACAACAAATTTCATAAAAAACACAAGATTTTTTCATTTTTTTTAAATTTTCGAAATAAAAAAAGGTTTTGTTATTTTTAATTTAAATTGTTGTTTTTGATTTAATTATGTTGTTTTCAATGAAAACTATATATATATAATGATTTTTCAAACTTAGTTTTTCAAATAGTTTTCAAAATTGCCCATTAGGTTATTTTTAGAGAACCTTGAAATATTGAAGACTCATATTGAGTTTTGGGAATAATTGTTGCATACATGTGTTTTAAAATTGCATGTACTCTTATTCCGATTTCGTAAACCGTGTCTCATTCCAAACGACCTAGGACATATTCTAAACTTACCTCTAAACCCACCTCCAAACCCACCTACTAATCCTAATCCAAATGAACCCTAGATGATAATTCGAAACTCGTGTTTTAACGAACCTGGTCGTCGGGAAAATCTTTACACTAGGTTTGTTCGCCTCTTCGAGTCTTATAAAATTCGGAAAGAACATATCCCATCTCTTCAAGCCATGATAGATATGAAATTTAAATATCTTCCTACCCTCTAATCATGAAAATTTGATAAATTATTTCAACTTGAACTAGTTGTTTACCACCAACTTGTTCACATTTTCTACTCCAATGCAGTATACATCCAAAACGAGTCCCAAATCGCCACTGTATGTATTAGGTCTTATCTCTTAGGCCAATACATTCAAATTGACTCAGACTCCATCACTAACGCATTTGGTCTAGATAATAGCGGCTTAAATAATGAGCGAGAAATAGTGGGCACTCCTTATATAGCCAAGTTGAGTGCGAGTGTTCTAGATCATCACGAACGTTTTCTTCATCTGATATTCTCTTGGTGGTATAGACCATCTGGAGGCAAATACTCTACTCTTAGAGCATTCGACCTATATTGGATACATTATATCCAGAAAGATAAGAAAATAAACCTACCACAAATTATCTTTGCCGAACTAGTTGAAACCGTAAACAATGTCCTTTCTAAAAGCGTAGAAACTTTAGTTTACGGATGTATTCTGAGTAACATGTTTATCAAATCCAAACTTAAGGTAAAGCTTGATGTAGCCATCCCTCTTACCACCCAAATCAATCTCAAAACTTTGTAAAAATTGGGATGGAGTGGTGACAAGAATCAATGGGTTCGTTCAACTCAGAAAACTCCGGGTGCTAGCTCTTCACTAGCTGCTCCGGCTCCGGCTGATGATCCAGAGCTTGACGATCATCTACGAGATGTCGACGATCCCGTCAGCCTAGCCGACAATGAGCCAGCACAACAAGAGAGTTTGATGCCTCCATACTTTAGCTTATTCATGGAGACATTGGATTTGAGGTTTACATCATTAGAGTCCTACTTTACTGCTATGGGGACTCAATAGTTGGAGAATCAACGAGAAATTTGAGCTAACCGCGAAGAAATGGATAATCGATTTAATGCTATGGACGATTGATTCTCCGATGGATGATTAACCTCGACTTGCTAGTTTTCTTAGGTTGAAACTTGAACTCTTAATTGTTAAAACATTTTGAATGATTTGGATGGTTGTTTAAATATTTGTTTGGATTTTGGATATTTGTGTGTTTGGTTTGTTTGAATGATTATTAGTTTTGAACTTAAATTGATTTTTTTATGTTAGCTTATGCATCATCTACATCTTAGATCAATTATGACCAATTACCATTACACATTGTTTATGAATATTGATTATGGACTAATGGCAAATATTTTCTTGACTTTGATCTTAGTAGCTATATCTATATAAATTGGCTATTTTCTTTAAAAACTTGTTTAAATGTTTTAATAGAGTCTTTTAGATTTAACAAAAAGGGGGAGAATATAGTAAGGGGAGTGGGGGTAAATTTTTCAAAAATGTTTTTTTTTTCAAAAGAAAATCTTAAAATTTCTTGTTATATAAAAAAGGGGAAGATTATTGAAAACATTTTGATGTTTCGATATAACAAGTAAAGTGTTAATGAATTTTAAGATTTTATATTCAATTTCAAAAATAATGTTCGATCCAATTAATCGAATATCACATATATTACTCCAAGTTTTCAAATATCAATTTTACTCCTTACTTAAGTGAAAAATTGTGTTTCAATCTTAAAACATTTTTGAAATAATTTTTACAAAGTATTTCGAACCAAAATCGAGCCAAAAATGAGTTTTAAATAGGGAGGTACTGATACCCTCTTAAGAGGTATCGATACCCCTCATACTTCGAATGCAAAAAGGGTACGAATACCCCATAGGGTACCGATACCTCTATGCAAAGAGGTACCGATACGTATCCCAAAGATACCGATACCCCTTATGTTAATTTTGGCTCCGAGAAAAACAAAATAGCATATGGGTACCGATACCCCTGAGAGGTACCGATACCCTTGGTCTTATAACGGTTGAAATATTTAAATTTTACACAGGATGTATTGATATCCTTTGAAGGTGTACCGATACCCCTACGCTCCCAACAACTTTTTGAAGTAGAATTCACACTACAACAACTCTATTGACTTCACCAATGATCCCCAATGTTCATAATTGATCCAAGGTGTATTTAAACAAGTTCTAAATCCTTTGATCATTAAGAATTGAAAAAGAAACAATAGAGAAAGCATCAAACATCAAGTTTGTATAATTCAAGCCAAATTCCTTTCAATATTCATTTTGCTTTCAAGAACACACTTTTGTGCTCAATTATATTTATTCTTGAGTATTCTTTCTTCGTTCTAGAATTGTGCAAACATTCTACCTTGTGAGTTTTTCTGTAAGTTTGCAAAATTTTTACGTTTCTCTTTGGGAGAGAGTGTTCTAAAAAATTTGGGGTATAATTCTTGAGGGAGTTGTAAGGTTACTCTTTTTCCTCAAAAGAAAGACAAATTAGTGAATTTATGGAAAACCCTTAGTGTGGATAGCTAAGGTAGTAGACGTAGACTTTGGTTGAGAAAGTCGAACAACTCTGAATCGTTGTGCAAATATTTTCAATTTTCTGCAAAAGCTTCCACCGAAATTTTAATTGCCAATTCGCCCCCTCTTGGTCGATTCATACAATCGATTAACTCAAAAAGTTACATGTAGTATACATTTGTATGTGGTGGATAAGTTTTGTCGAGGCAAACTTTATTTGGTTCAACTGATGCTGCTTTAGAGGAAGGTTGTTGGCAGGTTGTGTTGATACAGGAAATGAAGAAGGCGGAATTTATTTGCCGAGACAGAGCAATTCTCCAGGGCTAGAGGAACACAATAAGAAGTCAGTGAGGAACATATTTTCTTGTCAAGGAAAGATTTATCTTGCAAGTCTGACGTGGCTCAACAAACTGCTAAAGTCACTTGCCCAGCTTATCCTCACGTGCAATCTTGCCCTCATTAAGGAAATTAACAACTACAAACTGCTATGTCATTTATAAAATGGGTATGTCAACGAGGGTATTTAGGGAATTTTTAAGGGCACTAAACCCTAGAAATTCCCATTATAAATACCTCATCATAGTTTTTCAAAAGGCGGTGCAATCAAAGAGAAAATATACCCTAGGCTTGGAGTAATCGGATGCAACACCATACTTTCCACCATTCCCACTCGACTATCCTTGGTACCATCCATAGTCGGGCTTTATCGGAGCAGCGGTTAGGCCCTCGAGAGAGGCCGGTCGCTGGAACAGGCGTGGTAGTGGTCAGAATGTCACGGCAGAGCTATTATTTTGGGAGTGTTTCTTCCTTTGTTCTTCATCTTCATAACTTGTTAAGGGTTATACTTAAAAGAATAATTTTTGGATGATATTCATCGCACCATGAACTATTTTACTTGGTATTGGTTATTGCTTTGTAGAACATTATCTGCTTGTTAATGATTATGCAATTTGTTTATGCTAAGTGTTGTTTTGTTTACTATTTAAATATTTTTCTTTGAAACTATAAGAGCTTTTGAGAGATTGTATGGTGCCTTGAAAAAACTTTCCTAGACTTTGTAAAAGGTTTCGAGAGATTGCCATTTTCTAGGAATAGATGTCTAATATCGAGAGAGTTAGGGTATATCTACGAACAAAGAAACTAATATAGGATGGTGAGGTTCTGATATGCCTTAGAGATAAGTAAAGGGTTTATTCGACTAAAGGGGTAAATACTTGAGTAAGATAGGCAAAGACTATAGTTTACGCTGAGGGGTATTTCCATAGCAACAGTTTGACAAACCAAGGGTTACAACTCACTCTGAGTAGTATTGTTGTAGTAACCGTCCTTGAATACTCTAGTAATCTTGTCGAGCAACCTAATCATAGCACACTAAATCTTTCTTAGTGTGGAATAACTTCTCGCCATAACAAAACCAACCTAAGTGCTTCGTAAGAAGTCTAATCGTGTGAGGTTTTTTTGAATATATTGAACTCAACATTTTTATTTTCTTCGACAACTTTTATTTGTTTACTTTTGCATAATTTTCTTGTCTCGACCAAACTTTTCTGCACACCATACTTTACAATATTCCTTGCCTCGACAATACTTTTCCATCTGTTTATACCATTTGTTCCCGTTTACTTTCCTTTTTGACAAGAACTGTAGGACTAGCTTGTGACACCTAGTTCTAGCTATAGAAAAACATAAAAAATTCCCACCAATCCCTGTGAAGACGATACTTAACTTACTACTTTATTACTTGCATCGATTGTGTACACTTGCACATAATTGCTTGCCTTAGCATATACATTTACAAGCAATCAAGTTTTTGATGCCGTTATCGGGGATTGACAACTGGAGGAATTTTGATAATTTCTACCATAACAATTTTTTTATTTTCTTGTCACATTTTCTTTATTTAGTTTAACTCGTTTTTTTTTTCTTATTTTCTTTTGAAGGTTTTTGTCGTTGCATGACCAGGAGATCTGTTGACAAACCATTAATACCATTCGACCCTAAGATCGAATAGTCATTCAGAAAAAGGCAATGTACTTAGTGTGCCATAGACTATATGAATCAACTGAAATATCAAGCTGATAATAATATGGAATACTAGGCAGATCCCGATGTCGCAATAAATAATATTCCCCAAAATGCTGTAAGACCACGAGCTATACGATATCACTTAAATCCTATTCTCGATGATCTCAACCCCAGAATCGTGGTACCAGAAATACATACATATTATCTCGAACTCAAGTTGGTGATGTTCAACATGCTCAATTCTATCAGTTAGTTTGGTGGCTTGCCTAATGAAGATGCTAGACATCATGTGCATATTTTCCTTGAAGTGTGTGACTCGTTTAGACAACAAGGTGTGCATGAGGACGTATTGAAACTAAAATTATTCCCATACTCTTTACGTGACCGAGCAAGAGCGTGGTTGAGTGGAGTCCAATCCGGCTCAATGGAATCTTAGGCTGACTTATGCAAAAATTTCCTACTTAAATACAACTCGCCTAATATGAACACCCAGCTCCGTAATGACATTGCAAGTTTTTGCCAAATCGATGATGAATCTATTTATGAGTGATGAGACAAATACAAAAGTTTGTTTCGCAAGTTCACTAACCATGGATTCCGCGACTGGACTCAAGTCGTCATGTTTTATAATGGTGTACTTACACCTACTCACATGATGTTGGATGCGTCGGTAAATGACACTTTACCCAATAAATCGCACGATGAAGCCTTTGATATCCTCGATTGGATAGCCAATAGACTATAAATTCCTGTATACAAGGCTTAGAACTGACAGGAAAATATCTGGGGCGTATGAACTTGATGGTAAGGATTCAGTTTATGTCCAACCTTTTCTGCCATAACTAACATGCTAAAAAATTTACAGCGTTCCAGTGAGGCAAAAGAAGTCAAGGCAACTAACTTAGCATCCATTTTCTGCCATGGAAACCATCATGAGAGTGAATACCCAGAAAACCATGAGTGCATAAGTTTCGTGGGCAACTTCAACAGAAGCTACAACAACCCCTACTCTAATACATACAATCCTGGATGGTGACAACATCCAAATTTTTTGTGGGGTAATCAAGGGAGCAACAATAACAATTATGCATGCAATTTTAACAGGCCACATTAAAATATATTTCTGAACACTCAAGTTCGCAACATCAACAGATGCCCAGACAAGGTAACAATAAAAGTAATACATCTTCATCAAATTCTAACTCCCTTAAAGCTTCACTGTAGGAATTTATGACCTCGACAAAAGATTTAATGGATTTAAGAAAAAACTTGATACACCAATACTCATTGACAATCAAGAATCAATGTGCTTTATTACAAAGCAAAACAACTCTATTACAAAGCCATAGTTCATCATTAAGAGCGTTAGAGAATCAAGTGGGCTAAATAGCCATAGCAGTACATTCTCGGTCGCAAGGAACCCTTCCTAGTGATACTCAGGTCACTAAGCCTCATCGGAAGGAGCAATGTAGTGCGCTTACACTTAGGAGTGGTACCCTAAGTAATTTTGATGATAAGTTTGGGGGAGAGAAGCAATAAATTTCTCACCAAGACACTATATATCAAGAATCTGAAGGTCAAGGAGAAATTCTTGAACAAGAAGAACTGCCTAAGGAGAAGAAAAAGGACGCGACTTTAAAAAGTCATCACATTGATGGTGAGAAGTTATTTACCAAGGCAAAAGGTTCATCACCACATGCAGGAGATGAAGCTAGACCTCCACCACCCTTCCCTCAGTAGTTGAAGAAACATAATGAGGAGATCCAGTTCAAAAGTTTGTTGATGTCCTTGACCAGTTGCATATCAATGTTCCATTAAATGAAGCAATTGAGAAAACGCATTCCTATGCCAAATTGTTGAAGGAAATTGTCACAAAAAAGAGAAAGGTAGAAAGAGTAGAAATTATTGCCACAGTGACAAAATATTGTTCGGCAATGAGTAAACTTCTGCCGAAGCAAAATGATTCTGGCAGCATTGTTATACCATGTTCCATCGGTGATAAATGTGTGGGAAGAGCTCTCCATAACTTGGGGTCAAGTGTAAATCTGATGCCCAAGTCCATATTTTTTAAGCTTGGAATGGGTAACGCTCGACCAACCACCGTGATTTTACAATTAGCTGATCGATCACACGTTCATCTCGATGACATGATTAAAGATATGATTGTTAAAGTGGACAAGCTTGTCTTTCCAACATATTTCCTCATTTTATATCGTGAGGCCGATGAGAATGCACCAATTATTCTTGGACTCCCCTTCTTAGCTACTGAGTGTATTCTAATAGATTGTGAGAAGGGAGAGTTCACGATGAGGGTGTCTGATCAAAGGGTCACGATCAATGTCTTCAACACTCTCAAATTTGTTGATGATTCTGCAGAATGCCATTACATTGAAGACGTTGATTTAATGGAGGAAGTTGGAATGGAAAAGTCTGGCCAAGGTGAATTTTTACATATTGATGAGTATGACAATCTGTGCCAAGACAAAATTTTTCAGAAGAAATAGTGTAAAAAGTTTTGCCACAATAATTTTTGCCCAGGCGAAACTTATCTGAACAAGGCATACAAAGATATTTACCCGACAAAGTTTTTGACTGAAGCAGATGAAAGACATACTGAAGATAGAGCAAATGTGGAATATGAGGAGAATTCATTGGAGGAGGATCAGTCTAGTTTACTTCAAGCTAGACCAGGTATGAGATTGAACCCCTTGATTTCAATGAATTTGTTCCTCCAAAACCTTCGCTACAGCATGTACCTACTTTAGAACTTAAACTGTTGTAATCACATTTGAAATATACATATCTAGGTAGTGATAATGCTTTAGCAGTTATAATTTCTACTAGTCTAACCCCCAAACAAGAAGGTAGCTTGTTGAATGTTTTATCAAACACAAAAAAGCTTTAGGTTGGACTATGGCATACTTAAAGGGAATCAACACTGCAATATGCATGAACAAGATCCATCTAGTCAATTTCCATAGCAACTCAATAGAACCACAAATGAGACTTAATCTAATAATAAAAAAAGTGGTGATGAAGGAAATCATCAAATGGCTCGATGATGGGGTGGTCTATCCAATATCTGATAGCTCTTAGGTCAGTCCAGTTCAATGCGTACCGAGGAAAGGTGAAGCAGCAATTGTAAAAAATGAAAATGATGAGCTTTTGCCTGCAAGAATAGTCACGGGCTGGCGAATTTGCGTGGATTACAGAAAGCTCAAC